CTGGTGCAGTCTCCGATTAAGATACAACGACGAATGTATTGTAGCTGTCGCTTACTGACTCCCCAGCAACATCCACTCCTGAAATGGACTCCTGTTTGACACGTGTTTTTAACAGGACAACACGCTCTAGGCACAGTTATATTCTCACCGCCGGTGACTTCATTGTACACGATCTGGCTGCATCGACACCTCTCAATGAAAAGTACAAAAGAAAACGCATGAATTTATCGCTTACATTGAATTATTTGGTCTTTTCACCTTATCCATTAGATTCAGGACAGGAAAAAACAGTCCTCATTGCACATTGTGCTCACAACCGAAGAGCTCGTGATCGAAAAGCCATTACTAGATAGTCCATGGAGCCTCACTGACCATGTAGTCATAACATTTAGCTTTGATTGCCATGCAGAGTATCCATTTGCACCCTCGGAATTAACTCATGCAAGCACACGCTGCTGCATCATGAAGGAATTTGTCGAGGCATCCAATTGGGAATTCGCTAACAACAGTCCGCTTGACAGCGTTTGCACAGAGTTTGTTGAAAGGCTCCGTGGCCTGGTCAACAGAGTATTGGAAACTAAGCCAATTCATTCCACCAAAGTGCCGTCAGTTCTCTGAAGCAGGATTTGAAAATGGATCCCAATAGGGAATGCAGCAAAGAGTGCCAACAAGGACTACCACTGCACCGATAGTTGGGGCAACTTCCCGCCCCACCGCAAACATTGTACCACACGTCCGTGAAGATCAAACAACTTAGTAACAGTGCCTAGTCAACATGGTGCTGGCAAACAACAAACTGCCATACAAGCATATCAACAGCCTTCGCAAAGTGTAGCATCGCGTCTCCCCAGTTTTCACGACAGACGGTAGGGCACAAAGTGATGATGAAGCAGCCAATGACATGCGGCTTCAATACGATCGGATTTTCCATCTCGTGGACTCTAGTTGCCACACACAGTCCTCAACTTTACCGACTCCAGGGTTTGCATATGCAATTTTCAACCCAACAACTGTGCTAAAGAACTTGCTCACATTGCGCAATCATAGCCCTGCGGGAGCCCAAACATTTGTCCGAAATCACTTAAGGCTGCTACTACTGAGTTAGCCGGGCCTCTGTTACAGTATTTTCAAATATACTTGGTAGAACGACGTCCCACTATGTGCAAACATGGTGGTGGTAGTCGTTCCGACCCTGCAAACTATCTCCCAATGACTCTCCGCTCTGTGCTCTCGAAGGTGATGGAAGCGGTCGTCGCTAAGACTCTAGTGGACTAGCTGGAAAAATGCCACTTGTGCGCCACGGAACAGCATAGCTTCCGTCAACACCGGGCACACAACACTAACATACTGGCACGGGACAGTTGGACCGAGGTTGCCGATGGTGGGGCTGCAGTTGGTCATCTGACTGGACTATTCCAATGCTTGCGCCCTCCTGGATCATCACGTCCTACTTCGCAAGCTACAAAGCTAATGAATCAAAGATTCTCTTTTTGGTTGGATTGCAAACTTTTTCCACCAAGCGAGGTTTCAATTGCGTGTCGTGTGATCACCCTCCAACCAGATTGAGGTGAAATACGGTGTTCCGCAGGCTATGGTGCTGGGAAAGCGCTTCTTCCTGGTGTTTCTCAGTGACACTGTAAGAGTTATTTCCATTTTCCTGTTGTTCGCTGATGACGTTGGGATATGATGAGCCTTTAATAGCAAGGGAGAGCACGATTTGCCACAACATTACCTGGACTGCTTTCACGAACGGTCAATGATGAACCTACTTCAGCTCAAGGTAGCAAACTGCAAGGTGATCCGCCTGCGTAATTAGCTGGTGAAAATTCACAAACTTGGACACATCTTCAGTAGAGCTCTCATGAGCGTGACCTAGGGATATTTTTGCAGAACGATCTCAACTGTTCAAAGCAGACAGGTTTTGCGTCTTGAAGCGATGATCATGCTTCGCAGAACATTCAATCGGTTTAATCCCTCGAGTTTCACACAAATGGTTAAGACCTTCGTATGACCGCACGTGAAACACGCCATGCAGGTGAGACATCCGTGGAAGAGACAAGATATCTCTGCTCTAGAGACTCCTCAAGGACGGGCAACCAGGAACGTTAGGGGCCTCTTCCATGTGTCCCAGATTAGATTGAGGTCCCTAAGTTTGTACAGCAGTCGACTTGGGCGATTTTGGGTATAAATCACAACGGCCTATTAGATGATGAAAGACCCAAACCACATTTGTGGCATGTTGCTGGAATTGAACCTCAACACCAACCGAAGAGATAATCCTTTGAAGCTGCCAATACAGTATAACTAGCTGCAAAGCCATATTTATTTCTTCTGGCCCATAGTGTGTTGGTCGGAGAACGCTGTCCCAAATTACGTTGCCTCTGCCTTAAATATAACGATTTCATAAAAGACGACTGGACGATGCATTGTCCCATTCGCATTTCATTCTATAACTTGTGTTGGCTAGGCGGCCGCGTAACGCAATCAAACGGTGTATTTTCAAAATTCCAACCGGAGGAGTTATACTAAAATCTCGGTCATTTTACGCATGTCCGAATACGAATATCATGGTAAGTCCACCAAGAAACATTTCATTTTAACACGAATATTTTAGCATAATTTCTACCCTACTTGATATGTTCCAGATTGCTTTTTTACCAGTAATACACCATTGTTTAATTGTTTAGTTATACCCACCTACGTCGGATATCCTTGAAATGCCGACTGGGTGCTGCCTTTAGCTAACATCTTTTCGTCCCTAAGCTGTGTTACTGTGGAATACTTCTATAGGATATCACATAAACGCTAAGAAGCGGTGCATGCTTGAGCGCTTTTAACTATTTTTCGCACAGCATACGTAACACTGAATTCCTACTTTACCCAGTCGTTATGCAACAGCGCACTAAAATCGTAGACATTTAAAGTATTGCTATATGTTTCTTTTGTAGTTTTCACCCCAACCATGTCACAGTATTTGTTAAGCACATGCTTTATTACTCCTGATAAAAGGGGTTTCATTGCTCATCACATGAGTCCTCTGGTTTAACACAACCGACCTTATGCATGTGGCAGAGTATTACGCAATGATCCAACTACATCGCATCGGTCCCGAAAGTACAAGTCACCGGCTCTGGTGTGAATGAGAACATGGGAACATAATTTACATGTCTTTTAATGACAACAAAGTCGAAAGTGTGTTCTCCCTCACTGCCTCTTCAGTCCCGAGGAAATTGATCGCGCCAATCCAATGTCGACCGAAAAGACCATCCATGTTCCACGTTGCTAACACAACAAAAACTTAATAATGTCTTGGTGAAGAGTTTATGTTGAACGTCTGATGTGTAAATACCAAATATTGCTACCAGTCCCGCTCGGCTAGGTCACTGGCCCTGATATAGTGCCATAATCCCATAGTTCGTGAGCAACAAAATCCTAATAAATGATGACAGTGAAATTAGTCTGTTGGATTAGTGTACAATTGGGACGTACGCACCGCGATATAGCCTCAAATTTAATATGAGGCCGTCGTGTTGTTCTGTTCAAAATGAACGAACATTTTGGTAGAACAAGCTGACCTCGGATGTAATACGTGTCAGCAAGCTTGTTCAGTGGATTGACAGGGATGGGCCATTCACAGTCCTTTTGACCGCGAAACAATTCGCGCATTTGCGGTCATGATCATGTAACGATTTCATTTCGACAAGTTGACCTAATGGTAACGGACCCAGCCTGTTGAAAGCACCGACGGACATTCAATGCAATAAACACGGAAGGTTGCTTTTCACGCACAAATACTGTGAGCACGCTGGTTCAGCCTGTTCGAGAACACACATCGTTTTAATCATGAAAAATCAAATGTTGTTACCCGTTAATACTAGTATTGTGTGTTCTACTACGTTTGATTCTGCTCCCGTCAGAGCGAAAGGTTAACTGTGCTTTTGCTGAAGAATGATTGAAATTCAAATGTTGCTCGCAGCACCACTCTATCATTCCTCCGTTCTTTCCTAGGCGCGGTAAACTTTTGTTGCCTAATTTCCTCACATTATATTACTTTGAAGTATACTGTAAAGAAAGGCACCGGATTTGGGTCCTTTATTCAGAGGTGCTCGGTTGCTTTCGCTTTACACAACTTGTCTGGTTTCGTGGTGTGATGAAACGGTACCATCCATCGACTGGAATATCTGCTACCTTGAGCACTTCTACAAATGCTGAGCTTTCCAGATTGAGGGACTTGATGTTACGTCTCAAATGTATATCAGCGTCAATTACGAGTCCCGTTACAATCGGCCTCGTGTGATAGCGAATTAGCACTGGTATGGCAGCGACCACAGGCACACGGCTGGCCGGGCAATAAGCCATTTGTGTCCTGCCCCCTTACATTAGTGAACTGGTACATTTTCAGGAGCGTTTGTTGTGTCACCTTTCAGGAAGTGCCACAGACGCTTTATCGATGAGCCCAACCACGAAGCAATTTTATTGAGAAGTGACTAGCTGGTCTGCATTACTTTTTCCTGTGGGTCCCATAAGCGGTTAAGGGGGTTTAGAGCTAGTGGTATAAAATAAACACCAACCTGCTCATTGTGTTAATGTTTAGCGCAATATTGAGGAATACAAATTTTACCGGTTCCAAACCGCCGCACCCACGTGCGACGTTCTTTAGGTGCATATTTCCCTAGTCAAAGAATAGGTGTACATAGGCCAATCAAGCGACACACACAATCTGTGTGGTAAAAACCTGCGGATTGCCTAAGCATATGGTTGATCAACAGTGCGCTAGAGCTGGTTCCAACGCATCAGAATAATGCACTATATCACGATCAATGTTACTCACGCTTGATAAGCATAGGTAACCATTTCTTCCCCGAGTAACACCAAAAACGAGCATATGGTCGTTACCCGTGACCACATTTTTGTGTAATTCCAGGCCTTGGCGACCAACTGCCACTTCATTGACCTGAGTACTGAATACCATGACCCTCCTGGTGTAAGCAAACATGGTGGATAAATGTTTCATGTATTGATACAAAGTATCAGATGAACTTTAGCACACGGTGATACACGAAATTCGAAAGATAAAACTAAACCGATCAGCAGTCATTAGCACGTGATACACCGTTTCTGAGGTTGCAAAACTGCTGAGTGTGCGAATCACTTAAAAATAACCGTCGTTGTACGTGCTTCTGTCGGCTTAACTGAATGTCGTCTGATACTAAGTGTACTTTTTGCGTTGGGATAACAGCAATACAAATGCGACTGGCTCAATAGTCTGCACTAGAAAGAGGAAGATGTCAGCAGTCCAACGATCTCAAACGACCAAGCTGTGTGGGAAATCGCCTTCAAACATTGATTCCATTGCTCAGCTGCCGTCTTCTAAGACACTGTGCAATGTTATCCCGGTGTCACCAGTACTGGGCTCGGCTGTCGATCCATCTGACGACAAATTTGGCCTTTCTAACTTGGGTTGCTGTTGCGTGGTCGACGTCCCCGCAGTATCCTTGGGTTGAGATAACGTTGAACATTTTAAGTAAAGTGTTACAAGATGTGCTAATTGGTAAAGACGCTGAGTAGTGACGAATAATTCACTTACCTGCTTAATCTCATTGTCGTGTTTCCCCTCAGAATGATTCTACAATAAGAGGGAATCGGAGATGAATGATGATTTTACCACCGCTCATCTTCTCTCATAATGCAGTGTGTGACACCATGTAAACTCACTTTAGGAGAATGGGGTGTGAAAGTTTTTCTCAACCAATTAACAAAACCGATCCTCCTCTGTAATGCAGGAACAGGCAACCTTAGAAAAGTACATTTTCACAATGGAAACGAATACAGTCTACCGGGACAGTGCTTACAGATATCCGTGGTCAATGCACCTATTGCAAATTAACCAGCCAATGTGAGTAAACGATACACTAAAAGCGTGAATGAACTTAATGTGTGGACTCAAACAACCGAAAATAGATGCTTACTTTTTCATGTTTTTCACTGCCCGCGACACCTGACTGAAAGGAAGGATGAGTAAAAAAATGTCTGAAGCAGATCGACATCCATGAGTTAAGAGTGTGAAGACGATTAGTCGCCGACGCTAAGGGAGCGGATGATATTTTCATAGAACAGGAGGGACACAGGTGATTGACAGTGTAGAAGAAAGGCATCTAAGTAACGCAGTCAGAGGGGGTAGGTTAGGGGCCCGATAAATATTGCATCCACACAGAGCTAAAACTGACCAATGTTACATGGTGGGTGTGTTGGATTGTTACAAGCAATACAGGTATTCGCTAGGATGACTCCATAACTATACCTCATCATGATGCGCTTCTGGATTGTTGGATTCCGCCGTCCCGGTTGGCGTTCGAGTTCTCACTTCTTCTTTCACCCGTTCGCTCCTTTCCCGCGCCAGGCCATCCTTGGCGTGTTCCTCGGAGTGCTCTCCAACCTGGTCCCCGTTCTTCTCACCTCTCACCTTTAAGCGAAATAATTTCTTTCTTTTTTGCTGAAGCGTCTGCAGAGTCCAAGAAGGATGTACTGTAACGGCTATTTATCACGACTCTCATAATTTGCCAAAATATATTTTATATATATATATATATATATATATGCGTATCGTGATTGTCTCATATTCGGTTGAAAACTCACCGACATGACGTACTTTAGTTAAGCAGTACCGCTGGTATAAAGTGAACTCAGTTCAGTTAATCTTTTATAGGGTGACCCAATTGGAAGGTCACGAGCACATGTGATCAGATGCGCAATTACGTTAGAAACGTATGTAATGTCACGGATTACATTGGTGGTTGGTCGCATCTAGGTTGATGAAGAGTACAATCGACAACAACATAGAACGAGAGAGCCTGGCTCACACACGAGCAAACGCCTACACAGTGTCCGAATGTAGCTAATATATGCTTGGTAACTGTGCCACAACAGTGTCGCCAACAGCAGGTGCGTCTACCAAAACCTTCCGGTTACTCAGGGTAGAGTCCAAGTTCCGGAAGTGCAGCGCTACGTAATACGAATTGGTTGAATGACTATTATATACTGCAAAATATTGATACAACTAACGCCAATGTAACGAATTTCCCATAAGACTGAAACGTGTTCATTCCCCCTCCAGGTTACCGGATTATTACCTGAAAATATTCAGATCAAAGCGGTTTTCAAAAAATGAAGCCCTGAACATTGTGTACAGGCACAACATAACATTCATTATGCCGAAAAATTGAAGAAACCAGCAATTGCTACACTTCATATCTTGTGTACCGATTCATGTCAATATAACGACATCTCGCGATAAGGAACTAATCACTGAAGTCTCCAGACTAGTTATACATATATTGCACTTAATTGTTCCTCGCCCCTTTTATGTTCGGTTGATTCACAGACTAACGTTTGGGTGTTCACACCTTTGTGCGAGTTGGTGGTGAAGTTGCCACCGAGTTCCCATCGCTTCCCTTGAAAGCAAACAGAGGTGAATAGGTTGGATTTCGTCCGGTAGCGCTCACTGTAAACTCCAACACCGGGTAGCCACAAACAAAGACAACATAGCGACTAAAATTGCTAGGGTCTAGAGCATGCAAGACTTACTTTTCTCAGTTCTAAGGTGTTAAAGCAACGAAGGGTGAACCAATGTCCTGCAGCGACATAGTACGGGTTAACAAATCATGTTTTATATATCCTGGTCGAAAGAGGGGTCCAGAATTAAATGAAGCAAATGAAGCGTACATCGTCTTTGTACTCACAGTTCTCATGGGGTTCAAGAACGCTCGTACGTTCACATAGCTATTTGTGAAACTGCGCTCTCGGCATTATCCAATCCGTAAAGGTTATATAGAGATATTTTAGAGTAGCATAATACACACATTTTAAGTCAAGTCAATTCAAGAACTTGTTTTATGCATCCTGCATGGGTGAATATTCAGCTACAGTGCACACGATCTGGACAATGTACTAAACGTGGCAAAGCAATACAACGAATAACGGGTGGATAAAGACAAAAAACAATCAAGTTGTAAGTCGACTGGTTAAGTCAAGAATGACAGAGTTGGGGGCTCGCAAATGGCGCGAGAGATAAGGGATGACTGAGAAGCGGTAGGCTTGTGTGTGGACATAGATTAGCTTGTACTTCTGCCTAGTAGATGAAGTTGCTAAACATTCAGAGCAATATGTAGGGGATGACTTGTATCGGTCAGTACCTTAGAGGCCAGCTTTTTACAAGAACTAATGTGTGTAGAAATAAGAGTGTTGGTAAGAGTAGATATCGGAACACCGCTACATCGGGCTAAGTGTTTTAGTGATTTGACAATTAACTTAAAATGCTTACCCAAAAGACCGAGAAAGATCACAGAGAAACAGTAAGTCCAAAGGAGAAGAACACAGGTATTGACAAAGTGAGCGATCAACTCACGTGGAACGCAGGAGGCTCTGAGCAGAGAGGCATAAAATGACAGTCTGCTGACCTTTGTGAACATTTCATTTAATTGAAGCGTCCAAGATAAAACGTAACTCAACGACACACCCAGATATTTTACTGATGTGGAAGACTGTAATCCGTCGCCATCAATAGGTAACTTGTTGCAAACTGTAAGGAGTTCATCTTACCAGGCTCCTTTATGTTAAGAACAAGAATGTCGTGGCACTTTGAAGCACTAGGAGACAGATCATGGGATTTGGCCCAGTCTTTAAGATAGTTTAGAAGCGCTTGTAGTCTGAATGAACAATCGGAGCTTTGGTGATTGATGCCCAGGATGATATCCTCCGCATATTGTACCAGAGTCGCTTCAGTTGGAGCTTGCATAGAGCTGCCGTAAGCAGAAAAGTGAAAACGTAACAGAACTGCTCCCTGAAGGACAGCTGCGTTGGTGAGTAGTGGGGAGGAACATCTGCCACGGAGCCGGGTGATTTGAGTGCGTACAGCAAACTAATATCCCAGTTAAATAGATACTGGAGGGATGTACTCCTTAAGTAATTAGGTCTTCTAGCAGTATTTCGCGGTTTACACAGACAAATACATTGCTGCAGTTAAGCAAACACATCCGGGTTGCTTTATTCCTATAGTCAAGCGATGACAGTACAGAATATATGAGTTAGGCCGCAGAATCTAAGGTAGACCTCGAACTACCATAGGCGAGCTGGAGAGGGTCTTTAGAGAGTTCTGGACGGCATCATTACAAAAAGGACTTTCTCCAGAACCTTCAAAGCAACGGAAGTGCACGCGATAGGTCGGCATTTGTTGGATCCTTTTTTAGGCACTGGTGTAATGTTGACACTTCTCCAGCAGTCAGTTATTTTGTGTTGCTGTATACACGTTGTGTATATACTCGCAAGGGGTGTTGCCAAACAGTTGGCACATTCTTTGAGTAAGCTAGGAGATGGTATGTCCGGTCCACTAGCTTTACCGGAACGTAGATGTTTCAGCAGATTATTTACAGTTGCACTATCAATGGGAGGCGGTGATTCAGCGCCGACAGACTATATTGTTCCCTTCGAAGAGCGGCGTTATGTTACTTGGGATCAATGCACACTCGTAAATCGCCGGACTTCTTAGCGACAGTTGCTACTTGACTGAGCAAATCTGTCGGTTCGTCTACTTTGGTTATGATCTCGAGTGAAGCTAGGCGCTCCGGCTCTGAGAAGCATTTATGCGCAACGCCATAGGCACTTTCCTAGCCGGTAGCACACCTGTCATGATGGGCTCGTTTAATGACAGATGTGCGGATCCACCAAATCTCTCTATTACCTCATCAGACACGCTAGGAGAGCGATCCAATATATCTGTGACTAACTGGCAAGAATTAACAAACGTTCATAGTTAAAATAAACAAAAACCGAGCTGCTGCATAGAATCAAGGCCCAGGATGGGCAAGAAAATTCCACGTACCACGAAAAGCTCGAGGTGATGACTTGTTCCGTCCCTTGGATTGGGGACTTCCAGTATGTCGCTACCTTGGACTGACATTATGAGCCATTCCACCACTTAAGACACTGTTTTTCTTATCCCAAAGGCACTCCAGGGCAATATTTCTCCTGCAGAATTTAAGCGTGGTTTGTGTACATAACTGGAAACATAGATTTCTCCTCAAAAATCAGCGTCGCATAAAGACTTCTTTTATCACCCAGACGTTTCATGTTGTTGATGAAGAGCTCTGCGGCAATCGGCGAATTTTCACATTCAATTTCCTTGAGCAACAACATTGCACAAATTGGTTTTTCTTCGAGCACTTCATGCATGCCTTTCCCCAGCTTGAGCAACGTTTCTCTCGCGTGTGGGGACAGCGACCACAATACGAACAGATTAGTTCCCGCCTATGCGGGAATCACGACACGTCAAAGTTAGACCAGGAAACGGAGCATATTTCAGCAAACATGCCAGACTTAATCGGATGAAATCGGGACGCGGTTGGCATCCCTGTTCTCGCACTTCGGCCCGGCGTTCGTTTGCGCAGCGTTGGTAGAGCAGTTCTCAAGCTACAGCTCCCGCGACAGACTCCGAATCTGGTAGAAAGGATTCCTCCGTTCTCATGGTCTGATCCAGTAAATTGGTTTCCAGTTTTTGCTTGCTGTCACATAGTGCACTCCCAATAAACATTTTCCAGCTTATCTGCATGTTTTGCCACCCACTCTCGGTTGGCTGGTCATCTGCGTACCTGATATATAGAGCACGACTGATGCGCTATACAAGCTTTGGGCCGCTAGTGCCTTCCACCTATGCGTGAACACTTCTTTAGCTAAAACAAGCATTTCCCTTGAAACAAACATTTCAATTTGTTATAACAGTTGATCAATACACTCAAGCTTTCGGTACAATCGGCGTTTATGGTAGGTAAACTAACTAAAAGTTGCCGGGCACCAAATATACACCATAGATTGGGCCTCACTACAACGCTCCACCTAAAATCTAACTCTGGATCGAATGTATTGTGTGGAAAAATGGAACTGGTGGCCCCTCAAATTCGCGTTGTGACTGAGTTGTAGGAGGTTGCGGCAGACGTCATTGAGATTCCACAATCTAATGGGCCATTATTAGGTCGCCAGGTAGGCGTCGATTTCGGCGGCTGTAAAAGTTTAGAATCCTCTGCAGAAGTTGTTAAAGAAGATTTAACAAACCTATAACGTACACCGGGGCTCTCCGCTGTGTAGCCTTAAAAGTTACAAGACCTTGCTTGTGCCCGTGCAGTCAGGCCTGGCTTACGTATTCCACATGTGGCCACACGCATGTGTTAATCAACTGTGGCAGACAAAGTAATCAAACCGCCCGAATGCCCTCCGCAGCATGCCAACGCTTGGTTTCTACTTTTTGATGCCTTCTCACATTGTTCTGAGCAGCCTGGATTAATAGGCCAAGTTTGCGTTCCTGGGTGACGGCTTGCAAGTCACCAAGCTTATATATGAATTCTTCTTCTTCGCCCTAGTTGGGTCGGTCACGTGGTTTTGTGTACGTCGTTAGCAAAGCAGCGTTCTCGTCTAAGCCACTAGCGCGCGTCTACCGGAACCCCCTCTCGTGTGCGTCCGTTCCGAGTGCTCAGCGTCTACTCGAATACGTGCGGCTAGGATCGTTCTCACGCTCGCTCAATTTTCGTCTCACCCCGGGCTAAGCTAACGCCATCAGGTCAGCGCAAGTCCGTTCGATTGGCTAGCATTCCAAGCCGTTACCGTAGGCGTGCTCCAA